CAAATTTTGATATTTTGTAAACCAACTGTTGGGAGGTAATTACTTAGTTTTAAAATGTGTTGTTATTATTAAGGCCACCGATAACCTCAAGAATTTTTTTCCCAGCTTTGAGATCCATACTCCAGCCCCATACCCACCACCCTGCTTTTTGATTTATGCTATTATAGAAACAGGTTCCTAYATTTAAGAGATAAAAGTTATTSAATACATATCTTCAATCTTAGTGTACAATTYTTCAAATACTTGGTTAAACTATCCTTGAAGCYATTAAYTGAAGAACAGAATGTCATGTGCATTGTGTGTCAGTGAAACATTCAGCTCTGATGTCAGAATTTCACTTAACTATYACATTACTTTAGAAAATAAACTGACAAAAGTACCAAATATATAGAATATATGTTTTACATCTGTATATYTTTGTATGTCCATGTGCATGTGAGCAACACACAGAATCTTAGTTTCAAAATGTAAAATATAATTTTAGTTACTCCATATAGTTATAGCTTATTTATTTCCCTGCTTCAATGCTTTAAAAGGAAATGTTTGAGGTGTACTGTATGCAAAATTAGGAGTGAAGTTACTTCTACAATTTTAAAGGGTCTTCAATTAGATTTACTGAGAGTTTTATTCCGTACAATATATAATTAATGTGTACAGCGCTTTAATAAAGAATTCATCAACTTTCATTAGAAAATTTGAAGCAAGATGTATTTTACTGCTGAGACAGTCTACTGTTAGAACTGCTCTGTGATTTGCACTGAAACACCTAGAGATAACAAAATTTAAGTACATCCAAAATCAGTAAAGTAGAAGACATTTTTATGTGCTAATCTCAGATATTCTATTTTTTTGGTTTTAAATATGACAACTTCAACAATTTCTAGCTCTGCAGTAAACTGTCTCMCAGGGCAATGGCAATGTTAATCTAGTAGAGCAAATGACAATTATCTGTCCGATTAATATAAAAGAATTATGTGTTAGAGGCAGAAAGGTACTAAATGCTTCCAAATTTTTGGAAAGGAAGATAAACTTTAACTTAGCATACAACACTGAGAATCTCTCTCTATATGCTTATCTGTAAATAGCTGTATAATTTGAAAACCAGCTGATGTAAACTCAAGCAACAAAACTGCTTAGTTATTAACTGCTGCAAACTTTTCTGCTTAAATAAAGGGAATACCTTAGGTCAAGGGAATAGTGCTGCAAGAATAATGCATTCTCTAGAAATAACCCATCAGTTGTTGSTCCTCTAAGACTAATTATGAGATAATAAAAGCATCCCTCTGCTGTAGCTGAAGTCATTCACACACAACCATTTAAAAGAATTTTTCAACAACACAGAGCATTTCAAGAAACTTCAGACTATCTTCTATAGTGTTGCAATTCTATGCCATTTTTTCTGATGATGTTCAGTCACCTGATTAGTAGGAATGCATCCAGAAAGAGAGCAGAGACTTGTGTAGGCAATTGAATGAAGTCTTATTTTCTCATCATCCTAAACCTGCATTTTGCATAATTTTTAATGTACTGTGTCAGTTACAGTTTTTTTTTTTATACCTATTGGTGTAAACGATCAAAGATTGTGTCAGTGCTTCATAAGAAAGAATGAGTTCTGACAGACAAGCTAACAGTTTCAGGTTCTTTGTTAAGTGTCTTTTAAAATTTAATGATAGAAACTTCAGGAATTACTTTTCTATTTAACWTTATACCCTAATTATGCCTTCCTATATAAGGAGGTCATTTTAATTAGCTGAAATAGCTTCAAGCCCACAAAATATATTTTATGTATGCATCTTATGTATAAGACATTCTAAAAAAAATAACCTTTACACCTTGACCAGTTCGTTCTCTTCTTGGCCTATTTACTTGGATTCCATTGTAACAGTCAGTAGTTCTCATTTATTTTTACAGTGAACAGTACAGGATTGGATTTTTTCCCCCTTATTAAAATGCATATTTGATTTGAGTCCGTGAAATGATCATAGAACCACAGAATGGTTTGTGTTGGAAGGGACCTTAAAGATCACTTTGTTCCAAYGCTCCTGCCATGGGCAGRGACATCTTGCACCACACCAAGTTGCTCAGAGCTCGATCCAACCCAGCCTTGAACATTGCCAGGGATGGGGCTAAGTAAAATGATTTTTTAMTGTCCTCTGCAAACTGTTGCATACCAATGCAGCAGAAATTTATAAATTATAAATTTATTTATTTTTTATAATTTATAAATTATAAAGTTATTTCAATACTCATGTAACTTTTTAAATGAGTTTTGGAAAGGCCACTCAATTAAGGTAATACCTTAATTTGTGCATTGGACACACTTTGATGGTACATGCACCATTGTGATGGGTACCATACGTTGTGAGAAATAAGTGAGACTATCAGAAATCCTCTACTGAGAGCATTCTTCCATTACATTCTCCAGCTCCTTGTCCCCTGTAGTTTTTCCTCAGAGATCTCYAATTCAACTCGAAGTCTTCAGTTGTTTGCAAAAGTGGTGATGAAATGCTCAGWAAAAGACAGATAACATACTCAAGCARCAGATCAAGCAAACAGCAAGAACCMCAATGGAATCAGCAACATTAAGCAYAATATATCTAATACTGATGATAAAAATACCAGAGATTAAAATAAAGCTTTTTAAATCCATTGAAGCAATCTGCAGTTCCACCCAGCAGTGCAGAAGACGCAATGTAGGCTGCCAGCAAACTTACAGAATATTTTCAGGGAGCTCACCAAACCCTGAGTGCTGGAGGCTGCTGGTTAATAGGGTGCAACTGTTTAACAGCACATGAAGTGTAAAAGGACATGCATCATTCCCCCAGGACCAGGGCACAACGTGCAGCACACCCAGCCACCAGCACCTGGAATATTCCCCAGCACTCAATAATGTTGTGCATTTCATGCCGGCATCCCCAGTTCACAACTACTTTCCCTATTCTGTTTCTGGCTTTTTTTGGGCTCCAACATTCTGCAAACAGCTAAAAGAAAAATGGTTCTTCATTAGATGTCCCTCARTCTTTTGTCCCTTACTCTTTTCCCACTCGATGGAGCCTTATTARGATTTAATGACAAACTATTGCATATTTATACAATTGAGGTTTTATTCATATTTTGATTTTAGAGGATACAAGAACATATATACATATGGAAGAATTATTAGTTTAAAATCTCCACATCCTTAGCTTTCTCAAAAGAATATTCATTTACCTTCCAGAATGTAATTGTTRAAGTGCATCTTCATGATTTATGTAATTATTTCAAGTAAGAGACCTTGCTCAAATGTTTTTATAAGACAATGCTATCCTTCAAAAGAAAAATAAAAGAGAAATAAAAAATAAACAGCATTAGTCACATCTGGAAGGTTTTCATTTCTGGAAAAACAGAGCACCGTCAGACTCTTAAAGTGTCTAACTCCTTCATATACCATGACAAAATATTGGCAGGACTGATGAAGTTCAGGGAGCCTTTGCAGAAAATATGGCTCCTAGCATTATGTTTAATCTGCTTACTATATAAGCTTACACACTCCAATTTTTCTAACTTGCAAAGAATATAAAGCTTTTTGATGTATTTATTTAATCTTCAACAGWGACTACATCAGTTTATTCTGAATGCTACCACATTATTTTTATGCGTAATTCTTTTCATTACGTAACTGTTTCTAACATACAGAGGAAATTGCTACAGATTTTAGTTGTGTTCAAAAATATTTCCATCATATGCCCCTAGTGATCAATCACAACCCATCTGTTGCTTTTATTAGTTACTGAAAACAAAGGAATCGGTRGACTAGCATTCTCACTGGAGCCAAGGAAAGTACAGACAATACCTTCTCTATTTCAGATCCTATTTTTRTATCTGTTTAACTTCTTATAGATTAAATATAAACACAGGCTGCTTGTCATTCATAAATACATCCCAGGAGATCTGCTGGGAGACAGAGGACAGCAGGCTTTGTTTCAAGGACTAAAAATATAAAGTTGTACTTGCAACAGTTCCATGGCCTATGAAGATGTCAGCCCGTCTTGTCTCACCACAGCTTTGAGGCCATCTCCAGCACATTCAGCACTCGCTCCTTTGGCAGGAAGGCTGCTGCACCACTGAAGGTGCCCCTAACCCAGCACAGCTCTGCAATGGCTGACCAGGACTCCCCAGAACAYACCACCATTTGTGTGCACTGCCACCACCCGCACTGCCTACGAAAGAAATGCTGCCTGTCTTCACTTAGTCACTGTCACATCACTGAATTCATAAGCTGCAAGGGAGCCAGAGCTGCTGAAGGAGGAACTGGGTAAAATCCAYAGCCCAAACTGCCTGAGGGAGAGCCCCTCCCCACCCCATCTGACTGCAATGCCACCCGTGCATTCAACTCCAGTAATTCTCCCTGTTGGAATTGATAATAATGTTACACTCAACCGTAACACAGCAGAGGGGGAGGCACCATCCCAATAGCAGCAGATCTACCCAGTCACACTGCTGCCAGCACAGCTTATTCCTTGAGTCACAGTAGGAGCAGAGATGTACTACACCCAAAATTTCAGCATTGTTTGCTTTCTCCTGGAGTGTATCACAGCCCCTGTTGAATTGTCTGTTAAAAAAGGGAGAACAGAGCATGAAGAGGAGGTAAAAAGTGCTCCTACTGACAATTTTTCCTCAGAGCAAATGGTTGTGAAATGAATTTCCTTCTTCACTGCTTTACAGAATCACAGAATCATTAGGGTTGGAAGGGATCTCTGGTGATCATCCAGTCCAACCCTCACACCAAGGCAGGGTCACCTASGGCAGTTTACAGAGGAATCAGGTGGGTTTTGMATGTCTCCAGAGATGGAAACTCCACAAACTCCCTGGGCAGTGTTTTGCAGTGCTCTGCCACCCCAACATGAAGTTCCGTCTCAACTTTGATGCAATATTTAAACATGYGCAAATACAAGAAGTTATGAGAATTACACAAATGAGCACAAGGGACATCACTGCTTCATTTTATATAATTTCTTTATTAAAAAAAAAATCCTTGAACTCATTTAACTTACTATTTAAACTATTTAAACCTCCCACCACTTTTCTGGGGGTGCCTGCAGTCCATGCAGCTGGACAGGAGATTAGAGATCAGGGCACAGCAAGTGAAGGGGACACAGACAAGCACTRAGCGCCACATATAACCACTGCTTTCAACAACAAATACGTTCTTCCCCTTCAGAATACTGCAGACCACTAGTCAGCTTCCCTCTTGTCCATGTGAGAATTGCTACTCGTAAGTAATCTCAATCTTGCAAGAAAATACCTAGCAGTCTTTAAAAAGAAAGTGGCCGAAGAAACTGAATTCCAGATAAAAGCAAAAGTAAGCTAGTGAAATACACACAAACTCAAAGTAAACAATGTTATTCTGCAGAGAAAATGTAATCTCACCAAGAATTTAAAAGCTTAATTGTGAGAGACCCCCCCTCTCAGTTTCACTTGATCATTTTTATGCATGGGGAAGTTCAACAGAAATTTCAAATACAGGTTTTCAGAAGACCTCGAGTTTATCTGCAAAAACGGTGAGGATGAATTTTGTTCACAAATTTCATATAGAGTGAAGGTCTGTCTGCCTGAATACAGTCAGTAGTTTGAGAATTCATACTACAGTTGGATCCTAAAAATTAAATGGATAAGCTTATTCATAGTAGGAAACAAGTGAACTATTTGAGTACAAAATAAAACTGACCACAACAAGATTCGCCACAAATAARCCGATTTATTACTTTTTGGCAAGTCCCATACAACAGGAGCAAGGATCTTYCACTCCTTATGTTAAATTATTTAACTTTATAGAAACTGTAAACATCTTCAACATGACAAACTGCTGATATAGGCATTCCCCAATTCTGGCATCTTTTTTCTCTCAGTTAATCAAACAAAASTGAAACTCAAATAAAATAAAGAACTGCATATCTATAAAATGCAGCATGTGCATTTTATATCACRACAGTTCTAAGCAATGCAGAGAAGAGTATTTCTTCTTATTATTTTTAGTGAAATTCATAATGGTATTATGAATAGAAACATTTTTTTCCATGCTATTGTATCCTACCTTTYGTTTGAAATTAAAACCACCATTTTATACAATCAAGGTAGTAAACCAAATTTTACAGTAAGCCAGCTGGTTTGGTATATAAACCAGCTATATTTGCTATACTATAACAGATAAATAAGAATGTAAAAACTCCTGATCTSGTTAATACTTTGCTTTCTTGGCAGGCACCAGCCTAAAGAACTGCTTGTCCAAAAACCCCTACTATAATTATCTGATTTTTTTCACCCCCTCTCTGTCAAAGTGCGTTAAATCAGACATAATCTGATCCATGAAGTGATCACTTTTCTCCCTCTTAAATAAGAGCAGATTTTTCTAATTTTTAAGTTCCAGGAATGTCAATCTGCAGGCTAGCTTTACTGAAGGACTACAAGATACGCACTGTTAGGTCATAATCCTCMAACCAGGGCAAAGGTGTTTAATCTTTACATGAACTGTTTTTTCCCAAACCAACTTAGCAGCAGTAAAATACAGACAATTATGTTATTTACTAAGGCTTTAAAAGAAATTTAAAAGTCACTTCTCTTGTTAAAAAATATTTGCATTACAACTTTGGTTTCAATATGCTCCCAGTTTTGAAATCACGTTTACAGTAACTTAAAGACAACAATCTAAATTTTAAATGTAAGAAGCCAAGCAAGCCATATTAAAACCTTTCAAGTCTGCATCATATGAAGCAATTAAAATAAACTTAATTCTTTTCCARATCACCTTTAGTTACTCACAAAACTAAAAGTCAAAAGGTGGTTATTTCTACATCTGTGTGCAACCAGCTGCTTTAGGCATTGAAAAACATCACACTTTAGATGCGACAGTGCTTAGATCAGCAAATCCATAAATTGAGTTCAGGTGAGTTTCACTACCTGAAGTGAGGACATTGAGGAGCTTTGATTTCTGATTCACTGAAATGCACAGAGGAAAGACTATGGAGAATGAACAGTGCAGTTAATTTGCACTGACATTATGATGTACAGTCATAAACAATGCTCCTCCTGCAAAAAAAACTCTACCTCAAACCTTGGTAAAAATCTTACATGAAAGTCTTTAAAAAGATTGTGCAATTCCTTCAGCCAAGCAAAATATTCTACTGCTGGATTTGTCTCCAGATCTTCTCTGCCCAAATAAAGAGGGGGATCAATACTACACTGTTAAAATTAGATCCTGGTAGGAACTACAGAAACATTGTAGAAGACATAACACCAAGCAAATTACAATCAATTATTTCAAATGCTTTAACTCTTCCATCACTGTGAAAATCCGACAGAAATAATGGAACAGAAGTCTTCAGGTAACGTTAATTCTTCTGCAGAGATGCAGAATAACCAAAACAAAATTTTACCACTTGGTATTTTCACTGCAGCATGGGAGGAAACTCTATTACAAAAAAAAATCTGGTCTACACAGACACCATTTTACAGAAGATATTCTAAATGTAATTAATACCAAGAAGTTCAAAATATTGTATGGTTTTGGTTTGGTTTTGTTTTAAATCAAGAGCTATTTCCGATTTATAGTCAAACCTTGCAGATTTTTTTTTAATTTATAATCTATTCCATTTACTTTCCAATCTTACTGGGAATTCCCTGGAGCCCAACACATCACGATGCAACTGTTATCCATGTGAACGTACAACTTCTGTATGCTAGCTGCTGTTTTCTGTAGCAGTGTCTGTTAGAACTTTTACRGAATTGTAATGTTCTCCTAATCCATAGGCATGCCTCATATACCTAAAAAAACAGTTAAAGAATTAGTGTTCCATTTAACAAAAACTATACATCATGCCAAACAGTAACAGAACTGGAAGACAATTAAATAAATCCAAGTTTTAACTTGGTCATTAAATGTCATTAAATAGAAGAGTATTAATGAAGACAATTTTTAATTCTGGTGATTTTCAGGCACAGTTTGACATATATTTTGAAGAGGAAAACCTGTTTCCTCCATCTTGTGTCAATATAATTATTATTTTGCTATTATTTAACAGGTAAAATGACTATGCAGCATTCTATAAATCAGTGACTGATACACGTCAGACATTGTCAGCATTTTAAGTGCTCTAAAGGCAATTTCYCCAAAGTAAGTCTATCAATCACAAACAATTTCTGACCTGCACAATCATTCAAGCAGTGTTTCAACATCAGACACATAACAGAAAATAAAAGAGCAGGTGAGAACCAAAGCTGAGCTCTCTGTTACAGAAATAAATGCAATAAATTTAAGCAATAAAATTACATACTTACACAAGTGTTATTGGTTTCCCTGAATATTCTTCACCAACAATAATGGGAGGAGAATCCATCTGCACTACTTCAATAGGTGTTTGTAAAATATGTGACAAAGCCCTTAGCTTTAAGGCAAAAATAATTCAGTAATACAAGTAAATACAATGTAGGCAGGAGACAGGAAGATTAGGCATTTAATTTTGGCAGACAGTTCAAGCATAATATTGGAAGTACTTTCAGAAAATAGTCTTTATTAAAATAAGCAAAATTATTTTAACTTTTAAAACTGAATAGGAAACAGATTGCCTTAAACTAATCATTGTTTAAAGGATACAACATCAGGGTAGTYTCATTAATTTGCTAACTATCTTTCCATAAAAAATAAGACAAACTAAAATATGTATTTTTTGAAGCTCAGATTCTTGTTTTCATGACAAAAATCAAACAATACCTTACTATAGGCATCCTTGACCATCTAAGTCTTCCCTCACTCACAGTGTCAGTCTTTCTAATGATATTTATACCAAATGAATTCTCTAACTTGCATGTTGTCAAATACATCAATGATGGACCATCAGAAAAGCTACTACTTTGGGACAACAATTTATAATGACTAGAAAAAGTTCTTAATAAGCTATTTATGAATGTTCCCTTGTGCCCTCAAGTATTTTTTCTAAAGAAGCCCTTTTTTAAGGTATATTCACTTCAGAATTTCACAAATAAGAATTATCAATACAATACTTACTTCCAGCTGACCACCCCATGCAGCTGTATTTGCTATATCGTCACAGTATTTCTCATATTCCTCTGCAGGGAAAGACAATAYAATTTTTAATATTTCTCTTGTTTSAGAACAAGCAACTGAGGAAAAACAYTGATTGTGCAATGAAGAACTATGAGTCAGAAAAGTACAAACACATTATAAAGGAAAATATGTATGCTCACTGAAGGAGAGAAAAACAGAAGTCAAAAAAACCCAAACTATTTTGTTTTAAAAATAAAATTTCAGACTGAAGAGAGGGATAATAAAAGAGTATAAAAACAAGTACTGGTAATACTTCAAATTTTTTTTATTCAGAGAAATGGTAACAACAATCATGAAACTGCACACAGTTTTCTTCCTGATAAGTTTCAGAGGATGTATAGAAACTTCAGAAAAGAATGTGTCAGTGCATAGTATGTCTAGTTCTTATACTAGCCAGGTGCCACGTGYTTTGAAAATCCTGCAACTGCATGTAACAAAACAGTTGGCTGGTTTTTTTTTTTTTCAATTTCCAAATTAGCTGCCTTGTTTTTAACCTCTGAAGTATTTATTCTCAATAGTTCCTTTGTAAAYAGCTAAATAAAATCTATTCAGATCATATTCTACAGAAACCAAATTTAAAATTTATAAATTATAAACCCTCAAGATTTTGAACCTTACAAACAGATTTTGACAAAGAAGAATCTTCAGATTTTCTGAAGACWCCTCAGAATGACTTTTCATACATTTCCCTCAAAAGAGAACAGCACAATTCCCTATTGCTCTGTAGAATTTCATTCAGTATTCTCCTGGGACACATTTATCCTGTGACAATTATCTCTGTCAACAAGGAAAGATAGCCTCCAGTGACCACATGAAATCCACAGCAATACCTATTAAATAAATGTAGCACTAAGGAAATTCATGCAGTCATTTCTGTGGTRTTCCAGGCATAATGAATAAATTATGTATTGCTCAAATAAGAGGTACATAAACTCCGGTTAACTGAATTTATTCAGCTCCACACTAAAACTCCTTATACTTTTTATTTAATCTAAATTTAATCTAAATCTATTTGTAAATAAGTTCCAAAGAACCTTGCAGTTAAAATACAAGATAGAATAAGAAAATGTATCTATTCAAACTATTATAAAATAGATTTGCTTGAAATTCACACACATTTTAAACTACTTTCCTGTGCACATTGAAAACACAAATATAAAACTTGACAAAAAAATCACCCCAACCTGATAGACAAGCTGTTTATAATAAAAAAAACACAACCCAGAACGAGTTCACATCATCTAGTAACCAGCAAGTTGTTTTGGTTTTTTTTAATGGGGAATAATGTTTCCTAGAACTACTTWAAAAWATAYATTAATTATGGAGATCCAGGTGAAYCAAGTTTCACAGCAGATCACAATTCTCTGTCCTATGGAACACAGCCAGATCAATAAGTAATGAAGTTACAAACACCACAGAAATCCCAATTCAGCTGTTACTGAGATTGAGTTTTATTAGAAACAGTTGTAATAGTTTTAAAAATCTCATATGCTACAAGTCTTACCTCTGCTATACATGTCTCCAGTATTAGGGTTTGTAAGAAAAGGTAGAAAGTCATCYAAGTGACTTTGCATATACTTTGCTGTTTGGTTCCTCAGAGTTGCAACAGTCCAGGAATTTTGGTGGTCCTTGAGCTGGTCTTCAATCGCTCTGTACATGCAATGGCCATCRGAAGGGATTTGTTTAATCTCTAAGTGCCTTGCTGCCAATACAGAGGCAAGTTTCTGACTTTCAAGATGTCTAGCACCTGTTAAATTTTGTATCTCAGCTTCAGCTATTCTTTCTTCTCTTTCTTTCTCCAAAGCAGCTTTTTTCTCCTTAGATTAAAAAGACACAAAAATTGCATCAAATACTACAATTTAGAATATGCCTGTACAGTTCCTAGTGCTTGCCTCTAAGTCTTTGTTTTCTCACTACTTTCTTATCTGTAAAGTATTTGTCTAAATCAATACTACCAATTAGAGACCTCCTAAACCCAAACTTTAGCAAATGCTACATGACCAATATGACCTGCTTCCCACACTACACCTGAAATTATGACCAGAGAAATCTTAACCCTATCAACATGCAAAATAACACTTTACAACATTCATACAAAAGCTATTAATCATAGTCCTTTCTTCAGGATTACCTATTTCAACATTCAAGTATGGGAATTCTAATTAAACATCAGAAAATACTGCTCTTTCATAAGAAGTGTGAGATCTACCACTTAAGCATGTGATTGCATAATGGAGCTCATGCCATGAAACTGAAACTCCCTCAGGCTAGGTACTCTACAAAGGCTGGATAAGAATGCATGCAGAGGATATTAGAAAGGATATAATAATACACAAAAATTACTTTCATAGAAAGTTTTGTAAATTCGTGTGGAAGTTAACAAGGGAGCAAGAACCAGTGTAAATAAGCAAGTAAAACAGGAAGCAGTACAGAGAATGATCTTTCCACTTTCATACCTAAAATTTACCACAAATCAAGACCAGACTGGTTTAGGCAATCAGAATATACAAAAACTAGASCAGTGCTCCTGGTTTGCCTAGACATGGTGCCATGAATTACAAACATCCTTTTACTGTTTGCAGCAATCATGTAACAGGGAATGGAATACASATTAAAGCAGTACTCCTCTGACTCTAACCCAATATTCATGCAGATACAACAAGAATGTTAATCCATCACGATGTCTGACGTTTAACTAGATCAAAGCTTAACAGACAGGACACCAGGCAGTGTTTCTTTAAAACTCAACATTTTAAAATAATTTCTTCAGTATTGATGTTCTTTCGTTAAATGTGTAAAGTTCTACTAGTGACACATTTTCCACATAGTATTTTAATTCAATCATTTTACTTATTTAACAATATCTTTAGTGAAAGTCTTTCAAAAATCATTTGCTTTACAAAATCTCTTTTTTCTGGTTCCTATTTCCTAACCTATTCTGATTCCCAGCTCATGGCTGAGGTCAGAAACGTATAACTATTTATAAAATCCTTACATATCTCTATGCAGCAGTTTAAYATATTTTCAAGGCACCCAGTAGGCACAGCATCAATAAAGAATTAGCCAGGTAATGCAAAACTGTTTAACTTTTGTTATTATAGCTAAGTTTAATTGAACATAAAGTGAAGGCATACCCGCCTCTTCTGTGCTTTTGATATTCGAGGATGCTGAATCTGTTGCTCTACTCCTTCAAGCTCCAAATTTGCAACCCCATCAGCTATGGAATCTGTCTAAAAAGAAAAAAAAAAAAGTTAAATGTTCTTATTAGTATAAACATGAACTAAGATACGCATCTTCTGAAACAGTTTTAAGTCCTCTTCCAGGGTATATTTATGAAGTTTTAACAYAAAGATCTGTGTATAGCACAGAACCTATCAAAGCCAGAAGTACAGCATTTCATGTCCCAAACTACTGTCTTGTATTTCATCACTTTTTCACAGTCACAACAGAGTTATGAACTGTGCATCTCAAATTTAAGCTGTATGTTCTCTTGCATACTGRAGTGTGAACACTGCTTACTGGCTGAAAGGCTTTCCTCACCATGCCAGCAATGAGGTATCCAAATAGTTATTATCAACTGTAAAAATTAAAGCAGAAGGCTGTATCTTCTACACCGAAGCATAACCAGCTGTTGAAAAAGGCAGGGAGTTGACACTTCTCAAGAAAAACAACAAACCTAACCCAGTAACTGTATGAGTTATACAAAAAAAATCAGTTACACTGTCGACAAAATTGGAAGACAAAACACACTGGATGACTCAAACACCTCCTGAAGGTCATCAGTAGTTGACCAGTCTACATAAGATAACCAGAGTGGCAATAGAACAGTACCTTAAAAAAACAATTCTCTAACATAACTGAGTTATACTCATGTAGCCTTAAAGACAATACCAAATACTGTATGTGCTGGTGCACCTTTCCCCCTATTCAACATTCAATTTCTGTTACAGCTTGGCATTTGTGTATTGATTTTCCTTGCATGCCTCATCCATGGATTCAGTAACAGAGTAAATTTTGCCATCAAATTTTGTCACACTTTTGCAAATTTATATTAAACCTGCTTTTGACAATATCTTTTACATGATTCTTTAAATAACTAAACCACTCTCACCAATGCTCAGCAACAAAAATCCCCCCCTGTTAAATGCCCCTTCTAGCAATGCCCATTCACCATAACAACTAAAGCTTTCCAAAGTTGAAAAGAGTTACTAATACTGTAAAGAAAAGGATAATTACTTTGAAGCGTAATTTCATTATAACTTTTAAAAGTTAAAAAGCCCTAACACAGATTGTACCTGTACAACTTCAGCTGAAATTAGGGAACCTACCTTATTCTGTTCAGGGGAAGCTTCCTTCAGTTGCTTTAGCTCCTCCTTGTGCTTCTGCTCAAGTTCTGCCTCTAGTTTGGCAACTTCATCTGCCAGCTGTTTTCGCCTCTTCTTATCATTCTTGGGAACAACATTTTTCATGCCTTGAATTTTTGCTGTTAAGACAAGTAGTGTAATAAAACATTATTTCTAAATATAKATATTCCATGATCATTGCAGAAAATTATTACAAATCACATAGGAAAAAAATTTACAAACATCAACGTATCAGTATAAGAGTTTAGCTGTGAGATTGCCTGTTCTAATGTTCACATTTTTTGAAGTGGCTATTTTTCTTAAAAGATGCAAACTGCCTTTTCTTTCTCTCTCTGAAGAAAAGCTTAGGCCAGGTTACTAACATAAATACATATGAACCTCATCAATACAGCAGACCTTGGCCTGTTGCCTTCAAAAAGATTATGCGGGCATTAGAATCTCAAATCTCACAGAATGCAATTTTTTAATCATACAAGCAGCAGATTAAAATTAAAACCTGAGTCTGCCCATCCTTAGAGTAAGAGTTTCAAAAAGCAAAATCAGCACTCAAAAACAAACAAAAAAGATCTTAACTTGATTAAAGTCCATAAGAATTTCCAGGCTGTAAGTCAATGCTTCATTTCTAAAATCATAGAATAGTTTGATTGGAAATGCTGTCCAGAGGTTAGCTAGTTCTACCTCCTACTCAAAGTGGGGCTGAATTCAAAGCTACATCAGTTTATGCTAATTTATATGTACCGGAAATTTATTCAGTCTCCAGGGATGGTCATTCTGCAACCTTTCTGGGAAACATTTTTACCAATATTTAATGATTTCTGTAATGAAAATATTTTCCCTTACTCTTCCCATAAAGATTTTTCTTGTTATGTTTCAGCTCTTGTCTCTAGTCCATCCTCTCTACTTTGATGAGTGTGGCTCCATCCATTATACAGTGGAAACTACAACTGGATTCCCCCACAGCTCTCTTCATTGTTTTTAAATGAATACTCATGCTACCTCTGTCACTTCTATATTCACTGTTTTAGAGTCACAGCAGCAATTATTAAACACCCTACTTGCTATTCATCACCTGTACATTTTCCTGTCCTTCACYCTTGACTAACACAATTGAGCTGAAGATGATGGCAATGATAATGAAACTTTTCAAAGGGAGGGAGGAAGAAWGCTCATACTGAAGGATTTATGTTAAGCATTCAGCCTCACAGATGAATAAGCTGAGTGTGACAGAAAAGCAGCTTTGTTCATTAAAATTACCATAATAGAGGAGAWGGCAATCCAGAACATAAAAGGCACACACAAATACACAAGTGGAGTATGGGTGTTGGAAGGGGGTTTGTGTGTGGAGAGCAGTACCACTAGAAGGTGGTGGATTTTCAGAGGYTGAGATGCACGTTATGTTGATTCTCACAGTTTTGCTCTCTAGTAACAGTTACCAATGCACGTACCAGGAATGTATTTTTCAAGGAGGGAAACAYGTGCCTATTAAGTCACCTGCCTCTCCCAACTGGGAAGAATGGGGCTCTGCCCCTCCCATCATTTGGCAGTGGAGGATTACCATTATCACCTTCTCTAAGTGTAAAAATCCTCTGCTCCTCAGCCTCTCCCAAAAGATGTGCCACGTGCCCCAGCCATCCTATGACAATGCTTGATTCCTACTCCTCTTCAATTTCAACCAAATCTGAGGGGGGGAAAAGGTATCTCAAAGCAGTAAGTTCTTACAGATTTAATAACAGTATGCAACCTCATTTCTTCTTTAACACTCTGATGAAAGGTTGAAGATGGGCCTATTTCACTACATACCAAAAAAGTCAAACAAGGAAAAGGCCATATCAATATATTAGCAATGAGAAAGCCTTAACAAGAATATTATAACTCTCTAGAGAATCCATCTCTCAGACCTACTATTTTATATTAATATATTGTAACAAGGTAGGTTAAAGGTAGAGCTAAAAACGTTAAAAGTTCATATGAAGCACTGTAAAACAACACAGGTATTTTATTACAGATACTTTACTAAGGTTGGACAGGACATGAAAGCTCAGTTCAGGTCAACAGCACTTTGAATGAAGAAAYGCCACAGGCTGGGCAGCAAGAGTCCCTATGCTCCTTAATCTAAAATACCTTAATAAAACACACCTTCTTTAACTTAAAACCACCGCAGTGAAACGCAAACACCATGCCAATGGCCCAACATTAAGTCAGTCACAGCTTCCACGCACCGCCCGGCTCGCAAGGCCACGGCAAGGCGAGCACCGCAGGCCGCCCGCATGAGCAGCGCTGCTCCCGGCAGCACAGCCCGGCTGCCACAGCGCTGCCCACCCGCACCACCTCGCTACCGCCGTCCTCGCCCCCTGCGAGGGCACTGCTAGGGCTGCTCCCTCCTTCTGCTTCTCCTTCTCCGCTGCCATCCCTCCCGCCTCTCCGAGCTACTGGCGCTGCCGAGCGGGGCTCCCTGCGAGGGAAGGCGGAGAGGGGATGCCGAGCCCGGCCGGCCCCGCGTGTCCGCTCCGCAGCCTCTTCCCCCGCCCATCCTGCGCCGGGCCACGGCGCCCTCACCCTGGAGCTCCCGCTTCTCCTTGCGCTGCCGCTTCACCAGCTGCTGCAGCGGCCCTTCGGACCCCGGCTCCTCGTCCCCCGAGCCCTCCATGGGCGCCCGGAGCCGGCGGGCCCGCCTGACCCCCGACCCCGGCGGGAGGCGGGAGCTCGCCGCGCTTCCGCCAGCACCGCCCGCCCGGCACCGCCTCAGCCGCGGCGTGAGGGGCGGGGATTGCCGGCCTCGCCTGGTCCCGGGGCCCTGGAATCGGGCTGTAGGCGGGAAAGGAAGCGCTTGGTTTGTTCGGGCGCTGTGGGTGCTTCTGTCCGGTGATATCTGCGGGGATACTCGCTCCTGTCGCAATGTCCCGGTAAAGGACTCCTGTGAACAAGTCTGCACTAGGAAGAAGCCACACGTCTAGCTGAACTAGAGATAGTTAAACGGGGAGGGTGGAGGTGAGAAAGGAATCGGTTAGGGKTTTTATGCGATTCATCGCATTAAGGACAAAAAAAAAATTATTTAACCTGCTCATTTCTGTGCAAAATAAACAGTATGCTGCATGGGCTAGTTCTTCACGTGAAGCTCAGAAGCACCAGAAAGGCTCACGATTTTCTAAGTTGCAGTGCTTGTGTCTCCTCACCATTGTGAAATTATTCTTCCGAAAATGTAACGTTTTTATTGCAATAAAAAGACAAATTTCGGTTTTGGGCTCAAATGCCCACCTACAAGCGGGCACTACAACAAGTGGCATAGTGAGATGCTTTTCTGTTCGGTGCAGGCACCAACACTATTCTGTGGAACATTCAGTTCATATGGACAAARTAGAACCTATAAAAGTTAATAATGGGGTTTAAAATGACTCCAACTGAGCAAAAGTTGGTAATGGAACAATGTGTTTGTCCTTAACTGTTAAGAGCATTGCTGTTGTTASTTTTATATTTTTATGAACAGAATGTCAACAAGAATACCTCCCTATAAATAGTTAAAAAAAACCAGTAGATCTATTGCTTAGAGACATGGTTTGGTGATGGCCTTGGCAGTCCTGGGTTAACAGTAGGACATCATAAACATTTTTCCCAACCTAGACGATCCTGAGATTCTGTGAAGTACAGTGTCAAGTGTAAAGAAAGGACACAAGTCTAAAATAGAATCACAACATGATGTATCAAACTCTCTTGCTGTATAGAACTATTTTTTTAGATGCCCTTTAAAATTCTGTTGAAATGTAAATAATTTTCAGATTCATATGTCAATACCTGAAAATACAATTTTCCTTTACCTCCACCTGCTATTTCCAGCCTGTTAGAATAAAAGAGATCACAGATCAGCTAGGAATTGGCTTTTAGCTAGGAAAATAGCTGYAGGTTAACAGCACACCTGGGACTCTGCTGTTATTCAAAGAGCAGGCAGTAACATTGTGCCAGGAGCATTGGCAGGCTGTGACCTGTAGTGGTAGCTCAGCAGAACAATGGCCGTGACAAGGAACTTTTTGATCTACACAAATTAACTTTCCTKTGGCAATGTCTGGAAAATTAATTCYCAGATCRCATGGATTGTTGTTATRTTTGGAACAGCTGTGCATGGATGAGAAGTCAGCAGAGGGAAGATGAAATKACAGTGACACTTGCGGTGGCAGGAACTGAGCCCCAAAGCAGGAACCCTGGCGCTCTGCCTGCATTGGCACCGCCCTGTCAGGTCGTGGGGATTAATCTCCAAAGCAGGAATCCCAGCACTCTTTCTGCCTCACCCTGGACTTTAAACACTCCTTCAACAGCACCTCACTTCCCTCCTCTGGGGCTACTCCAAGTGTTTATCAAACACCCATGGAATCCGAGTGATTTGGCATTATGGGGAAGTGAGATGCCGAGGCTGAGGAAAGATAGCAAGAAATGTGCTCTACTATAATAGACATACAGGAATGACCCATGCAAGTGCTTCTGGATGAACTATTCTAGCCAGGTGAACAGGGAAAAAAACCTGATAACAAAGCAAGCAGAAGGAAACAGGAACCCCTGGCCAGTGAATGACTCAAATTGAAATGACAATACCACAGAGGACAGGCCTGCATGTCAGACAAGAGTTCAAAACCTGAGTGAAAAATAGTATCTTTGGAAATGAAGGGTTAACTGGACTGAAGTAATGGAATGTAGACAGASAATGGACAAATATCCTAAAAATTTTTGGGACTGCCTCCAACAGGTTTTGCTATACTRTGGGGGAATGCCTTCACAAAACTTCAATGGTGCATTTGCAGATGGTGTCTCTGTAGGTCAGGCAGGCCTAGACAGCTGAAAGTATTTTAAGGAGCATATGCCAGCATAGCAGAGAGTAAAACTACAGAAAATTTACATGTTGCAGTATTTGTATGTGATGTGCAAAAGAAAAGGCAGAGTGCAGAGCAAGTAGAGGAGAAAAGGGAAATTGGAGAAACAGTGAAAAATCTGATGGCTGTTGCCTTGACAGGAAATCTTCGGGGGAGAAAAAGGAAGAGAGAAAGAACAAATATGATTAGTGGAACCTCAACCAGAAAGCAGAGAGAGACAGAGAAGAAGGAATGCAGAAATGTAGTGTTACTGTTGTGGAAATTTAGACATAGGCAAAGACAACGGCCCTTCTGACCAAGTGGGGGAGTAATTGTGCAAAGATAGATAGTCACAATGGCTAGAGGCCAGCAATTCTACTGAATTTGTGGAAACAATACAAATAGAAATACACAATTTGTGGAGAACACCTGGACCAACAGGGACATATAGTATGTGAGGAGTGGGTCTCGCTGAATTTCTGGTAGATACAGGAGCCACATTATCCATCTTAAATATTGCCCCAAGAGGGTCAGTAACCACAGACAAAGTATTCATACATAGAGCCACTGGGCAGGAAAAAATATGAGTAAACCTGTATTAGCAACAATAGGAAATAAGAGTGTATGGGCAAGATTTGTGTTAGTAGAAGATTCTCCAGTGTGCTTGTTAAGGAGAGAACTTCTACAGGCCTTAGATGCAGAATTGCATTTGTCACCAGAAGGAATGGATTTAATAATGGTTCTGAGATTACTGAGAGCTTCAAAAGTGAACCAAAGATACTAGAAATATTGAAAGCTGTATTATCAGAGTTCTTGGGTAAGATCACTACAGGTGGGGCACTGGCTGAATATATAGCTATTATATAGCACAGCCTATATACATTAAAAMCAAGGGAGATATGCCACTCACTGAGACAGTACCCTGTCCCCTTGGAAGCTGGGAAAAGTATCCAAAACCAGATAGACCAATACTTAGACAAAGGAATTTTAAAGGTATGTGTGCCTGCATATAACACCCCTATATAGCCTATAAACCAGAATAGGTTAGATGGAGACCCTGAGTACTGCATGTGCAGGATTTGTGGGCAATTAACCAACATGCAGTGACCCCTTACCCTGTGGTGCCAGGCCCCTTGACTATACTTCTGCAAATACTACTTAAAGATAGATATTTTATTGTAAATAATTTAACAGCTGGCTTTTTCAGTATCTTAATAGATGAAGATAATCAAGCATTGTTTGCCTTCAAACTTTTCTGTTGACACAGTATGTTTAATAGATGTAAAAAGACCGTATAAGAGCAGAAAAGAGTATGCTCAATAGTATCAGCACATGCCATCTGAAATACAGTTATATAATATATAGCCTGGAAATGAAGTTTTAATTAAAGTATTCTCTAGAAAATCCAAGTACCAAAATGAGAAGGCCATATACTTTCCTACATGTCCTTATTTTGCTGTTTAAAGTTTTGCTGTTTAAGTTTTAGAAAAGGAAAACCAGATACACTATTCYCACATCAAATGAAGAGGGGGTGACCAGTCAGTTGACTTCTGAGAATCCTTGGTGATTTTGTGTTTGTAATCACTTCAGTGTTTGTGCAGATGAATCTATGAACTTGTACTCTGCCCTATGGCAATCTTGTCAACTTTAATTTTGTTATGTTTGTTATATTGTATTATACTTGTAATAATGTTGTATTTAAAGGCAATGGTTAAATGCCTCAAAAGTTTTTTCCTTTTCCTTTTATTGTATTAGCATGAGGACTGTTGAGGAATACACCCAGTTCAGATTGCATGGTGTGTGACATGCTCGCTGTRCCCTGGATGGCTGGAACCACAAGCAATGAGCCATGACGGACCACTGACCTTTTGCCTGACAAAGGACAGGCAGCACTAGCCAGGCAGGGATGGTCAGTCACCCAGAGACTCTGCAGGATCTGATGAACAATGAGAAGACCCCAGACCAACACCCACCATTGGACCAAGAGGCGCCTGAAGCATAAGTGCACAGACTGTGAAGGTATACAACACCAGGAATCTCTTTGTTGGGGGTCCTTCCCTGGGACTTACCCAACTCTGTAAGTCATTGCACCATGATTAAATTACTTAAAGGACYAGGACATCTGGGACTTTGCTATGGGAAACCTGGGTCTGAGTATGGGGTGTGCAGGGAGTCAATCAGGGCACCTGTCAGGTCACTGGAGATACTTGTTGCAAAGGAGCTTCTATCCCAGCAGTSAAAAATTTGGAGTGGTGCAAGTGGGACTCCCAGATTGCCATCAGAATAGGAGAGTTCCCTTAACATATAACTATGTTTCAGGGTTTTTTTCCCAGAACTTTAGAAATTACAGCAAAGTAAAATACAAAACACTGTGATTAGATGTTCAGACATATGACACATTCTGTTCTTCAAGCAGGCTGAGTTCTCCAGTGTTTCAGGGGACTACAGCCTTAAACCTTTCAGAAAAAAAAGGTAGCAGAGRTTCCTCCCCTCCAGCAGAACTATCCCCATTCAAAGAGTAGTCACTACAGGGATCCAGTGAAGTCCCTGTATTGACCACTGTTTTTAGTCCGGGCTTCTATCATATCATTAGCAGAAACTCAAAAGACTAYAGAATAAATACCAAGGACCTCAAGTCACCAAAAGTAAAGTGCTAAGCTGATGAAAGTAGATTAAAGCTAGCTTCATTTAAACAACATTTAATATAGCTGAACTCATATTTACATRGGAGTGGAGATTTTTAGTGCACACTGAGTACATGTTTGAAAACAGCAGTACCATAGATGCTGGGCAGGTCACGCTGCACAGCCAGCTAACGAGGAGTTTCCTCTGCTGCCAAGAAACCTGGAATAAATGAAAGCTATTAAGAAGAGCACTTCCATTGC